AGGCCAAACGGCAATTCTAGCTGAGGCGTCCCACCAAAATCGGCGCGAACGGGCTCGTGAGATCAGCCAGGGTGGCTCCCCCTTGGGGCTCCCAAATGATGCCCCTGGCAGCGTTTTGTGACCATGAGGCTCTCAAGAGAGACATGTTGGGGAGGCCAAACGGCAATTTTAGCCGAGACGTCCCACCAAAATCGGCGCGAACGGGCTCATGAGATCAGCCAGGGTGCCTCCCTCTTGGGGCTCCCAAATGATGCCCCTGGCAGCGTTTTGTGATCATGAGAGAGTGCGAGTGTGAGTGAATGTGACTGTGAGTGAGTCTGAGTGAGAGTGAGGCTCATCTTATCTTATCGAGTCCTATCTTATCTTACCTTTATTACCCTCTATCTTATCTTATACTGAAATCTCTTATCTTGTCTTAGCTTATCTTATATCAACTCATCTTATCGCATCATATCTTGTCTTATATTATTATTCCATAGGCTGTCTTATCTTATCTATTATCCTACCTTGTCATATATCTTATCTTTCCTTATCATATATTGTGATATCTTATCTTATCTTGTAGTATCTTATCTTGTCTTGTCTTATCTGGTGATTATCATTGGGAGGAGGGAGGCGCGAGCGGGAGGAAGAAGGAGGAGGAGTGGGAGGCGTCAGAGTAATAACAAGAACCCCAATCCTTAGGATATGTGGAAAAAACAGCGCCAGACCTCCCTCCAACCCTCCCCCCCGCCCCGCCCCCCCCCCCCCAGATTAGCAACGAGCATTTCGGATCGGCCATCCATGTGATGTCCCCTTCTCTCTCTCTCATCTCTCTCTTCTCTCTCTCAGTCTCTCTCTCTCTCTCTCTCTCTCTCTCTCTCTCTCTCTCTCGTCTGTTTCGCTCTCTCTCTCTGACTCACTATCGAAAGCATATCCCTGATTCATATAAAAACATACGCGTGGGTGATTATCTAAAACCTCCCGCCTCATTCTTCCATATCCTCCGCCCTCCCCCTCTCTTCTCTCCCTCTCCTCCCTCGCCATCTCTCCCCGCGAGCACCGACACCTGACCCTCCACTACGACGCACCACTACCACATAACACGATTCAGGTTACCGCACAACGCACCACGGCCAAGCGCCACGACCACGCACCACCGCGCAACTCGGCCACGCACCACGGCCACGCACCACCGCCACGACGCGCCTGCGCCGCGCACCACGGCCACGCACCTCCGCGCAACACCCGCGCGCCATCGCGCGCGCACCATACTGAACGCACCGCGCGCCACGACCGCGCGCCACGCAAGGCAACCGCGCGTCGCGCAACACGAACGCGCGCCACGCACGGTAGTCGTTGTAGTCGCAGTCGTCGATGTCGGGGTGGCTGCCGTTTTGCCCGGGGGAGGGGGCGCGGCGGGGTACGAAATAAGCCATGGGCGGGGTGGCATGGGCGGGCAAGGGGGCGGGTGCGCAGGGGCGCCGAGGGGGCGGGCGGAAGAGGAAGAGCGGGGGGAACATTAGCGAAAAGCAGGGGCTGGAAGGGCGGATGGGAACGCACGGACTGATGGGGGCAGGGATGGAGGGAAGGAGGGGCAGCAGCGAAATGCAAAGGACGAGCAGTGGGAGGAGGGGAGGGATGATGATATATCGCTCGCTTGCTGCGCCACAGCTGTTCTGGCTTCGAGGATGTGGCCCGACCGCGCATCCATTCCAGGGGAGCCTTGGAAGACCCCGATCGGCTGCTCACTCTCGAAGGGCGGGATGGCTTCTGATGCGCCAGTGGAAGTTATCGAGTCGCCCGACTGGCCCCCGCCGACGAGCCCCAGCCCGGCGGACACAGCCGTCACAGTGCCAGCTACCCCGCCCCAGACGCACGAGTCGCAGGTGCCAGCTTCGCAGCCCCCTCCAGAGGCGATTGAGTCGCAGGTGCCAGCTTCGCAGCCCCCTCCGACTCCAGAGGTGATTGAGTCGCAGGTGCCAGCTTCGCAGCCCCCCCCAGAGGCGATGGAGTCGCAGGCGCAGCAGCAGTGGGGTCACGACGCCCAGCCGTATGCGCGGCATGGGACAGGCGCGCCTGCCACCCCAGCGGGGGCAGCCGCGCCAGCGACGCCGCATGCGAGTGGCTGGCCTGGCGCACTGGGTAACCTAAATTTAGGGACGATGGGGATGGGGGAGGGGACTGGGAGTGGAGGGGGAAAGGGAGGAGCAGGAGTAGGGGGGGGGGGGGGGGGGGGGGGGGGGGGGGGGGGGGGGGGGGGGGGGGGGGGGGGGGGGGGGGGGGGGGGGGGGGGGGGGGGGGGGGGGGGGGGGGGGGGGGGGGGGGGGGGGGGGGCGCGATGATAGCGGGGGCTGGCGGAGTGGGAGAATTTGGCGAGGCAGCTCGATCCGATGAGCGAGCGGAGAAGGAGGAAGAAGGGGGGCCGCGGAGGATGAGTAGGAGGAGTGGGTGCCAGGGAGTGGGAGGAGGAAGGATGGGCGAGCGGGAGGAAATGAGAGGAGACGGAGCGGGAGGATGATAGGGGGAACATGAGTTTTCGGGTGATGCGTTTACCTTCGCACACTAGTGTAACTCATCATTGATCGGCACGTCCCCCCGCCGTCGCCCAGGTGCGCAGCAGCCCCCCGACATGGATCCCGACGAGGAGCTGGATGCGCAGTCCCAAAGAATGCTGTCGGAGTTCGACACCCCCGAGAAGATCTCAACCATGATGAAAGACAAATTCAAGCCCTTGACAGAAGGACGCCCGATGCCGCCACTGAGTAGAGAGGGATGGGGCGGGGGAAGGGCGCGGACGGAGGGGGTGGGAGACTTGTTGATAAGGGAGGCGTGAACTGACTGGGGCGAGGGGAGGGTCGGGGACGGGGGAGGTGCTCCAGAAGATTATTCAGGGCGGCAGCTGTTCTTCATCATGTTTTCTACCGCCTCCCTCGTTCCTCACGCCTCTCTCTTCGCCCCTCACTCGTCCCTCTCTAGCTCTCCTCCTCCCTCCCCATCGCCCCCCTTCCCCTCGCACTCCTCCTGGCCCATCCTTCCCATGCTTCCCCTCCGCCCCCTCCGCGTCTCAACGGCCCCCGACGCCGACGAAACGCTCTCGGCGAGGCGCGGCTGTTGGAGACCGCTTCAAGATGAGGTTACTCCGAATGCATGGTGGAAACATCCGAAACTTCAACACCCCCGCCACGTCCACATTCTCGTCGACGTCCATTGCCGTCGTCGTGTGAGTAGCCGTTTGCTCCGTGGATCGCGCGGCGAGGCTCGTCGATGGCGCGCGCTGGCCCGCCCGATGACGCCGCCGACGACGATTCGGCGGCCCCCCAGGCTAAGAAGAAGGGGAAGGCTCGGGCAGGTTCGGCGTGGCACTGCGACATGGACAGGCTGAAAGACGAGATGCTAGCGGCCATTCCAAGCGACGCATCTGGCGCGACGCTGCTCGCTTATCGGGAGACGTTTGCAGGGCAGAGAGACGAGGAAGAACTGTGCAAGAACCTTTGGCTGCGGGACGTGCCGAGAGGCGTGCCCCAATCAAATATGAAGGCCGCGCTGCTTCACGTGGCGACAGAGCGAGAGTCCATTTGGAAATTAGCAGACGATAAGGAGGGGTGGTCCACGCGCCAGGCCTTTCGGATCAGAGCCATGGTCAGAGATATCAGTCAGGCCGTGCTGAAAGCCACAACGAGACCAGGCTCGTGCCCGTCATGGGTCAAACTCTTCATCACCGAGGACGACGACGCCGCCGCGGACGACGGCGGCGTGCCCGGGCAGGACAGTGAGGACGCAGACGACGCAGACGAGGTTCCAGAGGCCGCGGCAGCCTCAGAGCCGATGGCAACAGCATCCGCTGGCGGTGGAGACACGCCCTTTGCCATCGACCCCGGTGGCAGCAGCGACGGTGCCCCTCTCTACAAGTACGAGTTCTTCTGGGAATCGATGGCCCGAGGGAGGTTTAGCATTGGGGCCCGCTCTCGCGGCGAAGATCACTGGAACTCACTGTGGATCACTGGGTGCAGTGACTCACGGTGAGTTCCAGTGATCTTCGCCGCCACGAGCGTGCCCCAATGCTGTAACCGCACAGGCAGCGCATCGCAGTTTGGTGATCGGCCCCAACAAGATGAAGCCCCCCGAGCTGGCGTTGCCGTTCGAGGTGAATGAGTCTGACGACGATTCGAAGCTTGTCATCGCGCGCTGGGAAGATGGCGACTATTGGGAGATCGACTTGTTAACGGTTGGCAAGCTGAGGAGTCACCGCGCGCTCGAGTTCAAGAACAATCCAGGTGGTGACCCGCATTGGACAGGGAATAAGGACAACGTAGACTGGAAGCTCGTGTACAGGACAGATCGCAGCCTGCTGCTGAGCATTCAGAGCTGGGGCCCCGAGGACACCGACTGGGTGCAGAGGCTGCAGCTAGTGATCGGCCATATGACCGACGACGAGAAGGCCAAGGCCATCGATGGGCTCAAACATATCGCAGTCAGCATGATGGAGGGCTCCTTGACGAAGGAGGACGCTGACATCAAGAATTTGGAGTACGCGGTGAAGCCGAAGTGGATTCCACTGAAGCGCCGCCCAGCAGCGGGCGGGGGGGGCGCTGTGATGAAGCGCCCAGCGGCAGCGACCAGCCCAGAGCAGGCGAGCGCAGCTCCATCGGTCGAGGAAGCGCTCGGCGAGCTTCTCGGCAAGGACATCGGGGGCGGCACGGACACCGTCGCCAACGAGAAGAGCGACGGCAGTGGCGGTCATGCACATGCTGAAGCTGACGACGATGACGCACCCTTAGTAGTCAAGAAGAGGCCAGCAGCGAAGTCACTTTCGGCGCCAGTTACGGTAATCAAGCGCATTGCTGCCGCTCCAGCTTCGGAGAAGCCAGCGGCGAAGGCGCTGGCCAGTCCAGGTAACGCGGCGCCCACAGATGGCAAGGGCATTGAGCACGTTGGCATCCTGGACCCCACGCAGGCGCCGCCCGCCTCGGCCACGCCAGAGTCTGTAGAGCCAGCGCCTGCAGCGTTCCAGCCTGCGCCGCCCAAGCCAGCGCTGTCAATAGATTGGGGCATGCCGCCGCCTGGCGCAGATTTCTGGTAGTTCTCTCGCTGGCGCAGTTTGGCGCCGACTTGCGTTCGAGCAATAACACTGTCGAGCCCGAGTGGTGTTACCCGGCTCGTCGCAGTCGCAACCACAATCATCGCATCGTCAGCTACATCGTCCAACATCTCATCACTCCTGATGTTATTTATTTCTCGACGCATCGCCCCTTCCCCGTGTGTCGACCAAGTGTTGTGCGTGTGCTCTCATCCACTGTCCGTCTGCATGCATGCTTCACACTTCGTGCCTCCCCCATCTCCATCGCATCCCTATTCCTCTCGCTCGCAAGCCTCTGAACAACAAGGCTCGACGCTACTTACTGCGCCTCCTCCTCCTCCTCCTCATCCTCCTCCTGCGAACCCCATCCTCCTCATCCTCCTCCGCCTCCTCCTCCTCCTCCTATGCACCCCCTCTCTCAATGCCTTGTATCGCCCGCCGTCCACCGCCCTCCCATCGCGGTCGGGTCCAGTGCCGTCGCGTCTTGCGCCCTCGTCCTAACACCAATCCTGGAGATTGCTATCATGTTGGACGTGTTGCACCCCTTCTGCGACTCATCGATAACCAATGGTCACAGTGACGCACAGCGAGTTACAGTGAGTCTTGCTACCCCCCCCCGCTCGACGCCTGCGTCGATGTCGGTGAGTCGGCACCTGCCCATTACCGCCGCCGCTCCTCTCGCGCCGCGCCCGCAGGAGATGCCCCCGCCCCTGATGAAGGGGGTCTCAGCCCGAAGGAGAAGGAGGAAGAGGACTTCTGGGATGCCGCCAAGCAGAACAACTACATATTCGCAGCTCGCGGTGGAGCCGGAAACCCGGCGGCGGGGAGGTTCGGCAGGTGGGTGCGGCGCAAGGATCGGGCGCAGCAGACGCAGCACTATGACTCCTTGGGCCCCAAGGCAAAAGAGAAGTTCCGCGCTGACTGGCTCCTGAGCGAGCACAACGAGTATTGGGAATACAATCGCCCCAGACCACCATGGCCACAAGTCTGATCTCAGTCTCTCGCTCCCCGCGCCCCGCTCATCCTCCTCCTTCTACCCCTCATCCTGCTCATAGTCCTTCTCATCTTCCTCACCCCCTGCCAGCATTTTGCCCCCCCCATCCTTCAGCTTGACGTCCTGGCCCCGATCCCGCATCCCCCCCTCCGAACCACGCCTCATCCTCTGTTGACTTCCCCTGTGGACCTCTACTCGCATCTGCCTACCTTCAACTTCCGAGGTGGATCAAGACGAAGGAGATGTCCCAGACCCATCGGATCAACCGCTACACGGACGCCCGCTATATGAAAGCCTGGCGGCAAACTGTCCATGAATTCCAGTATCCAAGTTACTCCTTGAATGCGTCCTGTCTCGTTCCTCCTTCCCTGGTTCCAACCGCCGCCCGCTGGCCCGCCCTCCGTTTCCCCCCGACCCTGCCCTCCGCCCGCCCTCCACGGGGTGTCCCCCCACCCCGCCTTCCGCCCTCCACCCTGCCCTCCACCCTCCTCTCCCGCCCCCTCCCCCCCTGCCTGGCCCCGCCCTGTCCTTGGTCCGTCTGCCCTCCGCCCGCCTCTCAGGGAAACATGCCCAGACGCTCGCGCCGTCCGCCGCCCGCGGCGGAGTGGTTTACACGGTGGGGAGGATCGCGACTGAGGAGGGCGGGGGCCCACAGGGCCTCCGCAACGCGCTCAACTACGCGTTGAGGCGCCAGCGGGGGGCCCATAACGTCGGGCCGCGTCCGACGGGGGGGGTGGAGGGCCGAGAGCGAGGGGGGAGGGGAGGGAACAAACGAGAGGGGGAGGGATCGAGAGAGAGAGGGAGAGAGAGAGAGAGAGAGAGAGAGAGAGAGAGAGAGAGTGAGGGAGAGAGAGAGCGGGAGAAAGAGAGAGACAGATGTGAGGTGAACGATAGATAGAGGCACGTACAAATAATGAAAGAGAACGGGCGAGAGAGATAGCGAGGGATATGGAGAGTTATATGCATACGAGTATACGCATATACATAGTTGTAGCTCGAGAAATAGAGGTGTATGTAGATACAGAGGTCGGTAGATAAGTATACATTTAGAATGTATATATACATATAGAGATGCACACATGTTCATCATACATGTATCGAGACATATACATATAATGGCACACGCTGCTATGAACACATAGGTGTATGCAGTTGTTTTTATGTGTGACCATATGTACATATACATATACATATATAGAGAGATACATATAGAGAGAGCGGGGGGCGGGGGCGAGATCGGGCGCATGCCCGGCCCCGCCGAAGCACTGCCCCCAGCTGGCCTGGTATGTCACGTCGCCGATAAGTTGGAGCCTCGGGGCGGGTAGCCGCGACGGCGACTGAGGCGGCTAGGCGCGGCAACGGCGATGGCGGCGCGACGGCGGCGGGTCTGAGACATCTCGTTAAGGGAAAGACTGGCACGAGGGTGATGCGGGTGCGGGAGGGGGGG